AGATATTAGATATATTAGATATATTAGATATATTAGATATATTAGATATATTAGATATATTATATATGTTATATATATTATATATTATATATATTATATATATTATATATATATTATATTATATTATTTTTTTTTTAATATTATAATATTACAATATTTTATTTAATATGATATAATATTATATAATATTTTTTTTAATAATATATATTATATTATAATATTATAATATTTTATAATATTAAATATTATATAAAAAAAAAATATTCTATATATTTTATATATTATATATTTATAAATTGATAATATTTATATTTATCTTGTATTTAAAATTATTATATTTTTCATTTTATTTTTATTGAAAATTTATGAATTATATTTTATATAATATATATTTATTTATATATTATTTATATAATATGAAAATAATATAAAAAATATAAAGAAATTATTTTTGTATTTATTTAATTATAATATTAAAATTAGATTATTGGCCTAGATTTTTGATATTTTGTTTTGCGTTATTAGACGGGCTATTTACCGTCGGGAAATTTTGATTAAGGATTAGGTTCCGGGGAGATATATTGCCGTAATTAAAATTATTTAAAAATTTTAAGGGAATATTGATTTATACAATTTTATTTTGGATGATGATATTAATTATTGGTTAGTAAGTGGATTATATTATATGTTTTTAATATTAATATATTTTGTGGAAATGATTTGTTGGCATTTTTTTTCCGTCTTTATTTTGTCGATTTTGTATGGCAGATTTTTTTCGATTTTTTTTGTTGGGCTGATTATATAATTTATCGATCTTATTTGGTAATGGTTAGATATTATTAGATTTATAGATTTGGATTATTTTATTGTATTATTATTTATATTAAAATTTTATATTATTATTAATATTATAGTATAATTCAATATAAATTATATAAATATAATGTTTTTTTATATTTATTTTATTTATATTTATAAATTTAATATTTGATTTTTGATATTTTTATTTGGAAATTGAAATGTTATTTTATTTTTGGAAATATTATTTTTTCGAAATCGTTTGATCGAAGAATTTTTCTAATAATAAAGGTTTATTGAATATGTGTTATATATTTTTTTTCAATTATATTTTCGTTATTTCCCGAGAGCGCCAGCGAAGGGTCCTTCGTAAAAAAGCAGTCGTTATATTATATCTTCACACCTTCACATCTGCTGATTTACATCTTCACACCCTCACACGTGCTGATCTAGATCTTCACACCCTCATACCTGCTGATCTACATCTTCACACTCTCACATCTGCAGATCTACATCTTCACACCTTCACACCTGCAGATCCACA